CACATACTTACCAATTTAGGAATGTAGGCCCTCACATCTTGAGGTTGTCCTTAATCTAGCAAAATTTTTTTTTTCCTAATGTAAGCAGTGCACCATATCTCCTTCTTGTGATACAATTCTTGAATCAATTCATTATTTCCCCCACCCCAAATCACACTCCTCAACTGTTGAAGCCTACATTTGTTCAAATTGTTCAATGTCAAGATCACCAAGCATGCATTCCTTAAACAATTTACTAAAACTTTCATTATGAACATTGGATAACATATTCCTTATTAAATGCCACCCACACAATCAATGATGAACATTTGGAAACACTTTCTTTATGGCATTCCTCATTGAAACATTACCACTAGTAATTACACAATTAGGACACTTACCATTCATTTCTATTAAGAACTGATCAATAACCCATACATAAGTCTCCTCCTTTATCAGACACAATAGCAAACCCAAATACATATGTCTGTTTATGATGATTAACACCTGAAAATACCACAATAGGACATTTGTACTTATTCCTCTTATAAGTAGCATCAAAAGTAACATCTCCAAATATTGCATAATCAATTTGACTGATACTATCACACAAAAAAAGATGCAACAACCTTCCATTACAATATACCTTATGACCCCAATAGAACTTCAGATCCTTAAACCACAATCCTAATAAGAATTTTTTTGCCTCTCTGACATTCCCATCCTCTCCTCTTCTATCTTTCTAAATTTGATTGTACATGTCTTTTTTACAAAATCTAACAATCTTATAACTTCCTCTTTGGTTAACAAATAAATTATATACTTTCGTCGTTGGAATACCATTTTTCCTCATTCTCCGCATTTGTTCAACATCAGCATCATCCATTTTTTAATGTGACCTTAACATTCTATAATAATTGTCATCAACTAAATGATGATTACGATCATCAAAAAATTGTGAAACTACCCAACACCTTCTATCTACATCTTTTTATATCTTCAACTCAGTCTCATAAGTCTATAATTAGGCCCTCTTTTAGAGCCCATATATTGATGTTTGACCTTTATTTTATTTAGATTTTACTTTAATTTATTTGCATATTATGCAGTTTAGTATAAAAAGGCCACAACTGGGTTTAAGACGTGTTTTGGGCCCAAAATTGGTTGCAAAATAGAGCTTCGCAGCAGTCAGCAGGTCTAGATCCTATCATCAAGCAGAGGTGCTTCGAACACATGCACGACAGTGCATATTGACCATCACGCCCATGTACCAAGTTTACACATGGTCGTGCTCATCTGCGAAAGACCAATTATGAAGAACTTTTAACGTTTTCAAACCCTATAAAAGAGCGACCTCAGACATCCAGTTGTACATCCTGTCTTTTGCTCTTTGATATACCTTTCATTTTGTCCCTCTTGCACGGGATCTTTGGCATACTCTTAGTAAGATTTAGAACTTCAAGCGACTGTACTTGAAAACTGGGAACTCATCTTATTCTAATTTACTTTTCTCTATGGCTTTGTTTATTATTGTTTTTATTTTTCTTTTTAGCATGAGTAACTAAGTCTATAACTAGGGTTATGGGAATATTTGTTCATGAATTTATAGGATTTTGATGTTTGAATCTAAATTTAGTTTCCGTCGTGATTAGTTTTTATCTTATTGCGCTTCTTTATTAATCCTAATTAATTATATCGTCAGACAACCGTACCTCGGTTAGTTAATGGATCTATAGGATAAAACGAGACAAAGGATTAGGTGGACTAAACTAATCTTTCTTTTTCAATTGTTATTAAATTAACAAGTTCATAGGTGTTTTATGCTTTCTTTAATTGATGTCTTGCATGACCATTGAGGTTGTTAATTTAGAGAAAATAATATTAATATTGCATGACCATTGAGTATTAATAGTAATTGTATAAATGATTGGTAATTACAAGAAAATTGAATTTAGAATTCAACAGAAAAATAATATAAAGGATTGAATGAGAAAACCCATATGCCCTAGGTTCCTCTTCGATAAGTTCAACCAAGATATGCATTGTATTCCTTGTTCTTAGTTTTATAATTAATTTTATAAATTCTTGATTTAATTAATCTCATATCTTTGAAGCTCAAATAATTAAATTTAAAAATTTTTAGTAATTAGAAATCAATCATTGTGGGACAATATTTTTAGAACTCAATTTAAGAACCATCTATTACTTCTCGAAGGCTACATTTGCCTCACAACCAAATCTGGTCATCGCTTTGTGGTCTTAATTCTATTCGGCAAACTTTGGTACATTTGTCGTTGAAAATCTTGGTTTGACACACAAATTACTGCCACACAACATCTCTATTCTTATTTTTACCACATTTGTTTTTTCTCATGCCAAACCCATTCATTTTTCCATATTCATCATAAAATTTATAACCTTCATTCACACTAAAAAATTTCATATTCTTAATCTGACTGTTAGATAAATTACACAAATTTTTGTACTTGTCATTCTACATATCAACTTCATCTAAAATTCCAATTTCCTCTTCAACATTGCATTCATCAATAATAATCTGTAACAAATCAAAATTAGTATGGATGTTACTTCATGCAAATCAAATACAAAACACACAAATTGTACACAAACCTATTTGTTTCCATTGTCATTTCCACTAACATCCTTTTAACGTACAGACTAACAATGGGTATTATTCAGCTTGCCTTGCCCAACCTCTTCCTCTTCCTCATCCAAATCTCCTTCCTTTTTTTGCTTAACAAATGCAACCCTTCGATAGTTCTTCCTCATATTCACCTTTTGTTCGTTTGCATTAATATGATTTTAACAAAAAATGTTATGTCCACTTCAAACTTTAGAATGTTAAATACAATTTGTTACTACTAACTACATCGATTTTTAGAGACAACTAATCTACATACACTATTTTGTTTTTATATATATTTCTTCTATAATGGTTCTCTGAGACATCCAATATACAAACGACATTTTATATTTTGAATTTTAACTTTCTACATCAGTCACTCACAAAACTGACTTATAAGACTACTTGTTCTACTTCCCTTCTTTCTACATATGTTATCTCACCGCACCGATGTAGAAAGTGCGTTTTAAATATGTCTACATTTTCTACAATAGTTGTGGGTCAAATTTGATGTACAGTTAACAACATAAAATGATGCTTTCTATGTTATATCATTTGCCATTCGTTGTCATTGTAATAGTTAATAATCACAATCGGAACAAAAACAACGTAATGGGTTAGGGTGTCATAAGAAGTACGAATCCATCAGCATTATATGTATCATTTCTTCTCCAATTTTCGTCTTCTCTGAACAACTTTTCATCTTCTTCTCCAATGGTGCACAATAAATACACAAGAACTCGTATTACTCATTCATCAACGATTCATATATATATAAGCTTGCAATTTACTTTTTTACCTTTTATAACTAACAACAAAATTAAGTTACTCATCTATTTTTTTTCTTTCTTTATTTCAATACTAGTAATCAATTTAAAACACAATATAATCAATAGTTTTAATTCTTTTAAAATTTGCTTATACAATTGCTTTACATTTACAATTCTACTATTTTTACAATAAAAGAGAGAAGCCAATAAAATTATCTCTTAAAACCTTTGAATAATCTCTTTTAAATGCTTTGACTTTACACTTTTCTTAAAATGCTTATTTTAAATGAAAACACTGTAAGATAATTATTTTAAATTTATTAATCTCTCTTATTGTCTTTATTGTTATGTAATTACATAAAATTAATCAATTGTTTTTTTAAGTTTCATTTAATCATACATCGCTTTTATTAAAACTACATAATTAGACAAATTATCAAAGACATCAAAACTCATTTATATTAACTCAAAGGATGAAATGTTCTACTTCATTTATTGAAAACTTCTGCAATATAAATTTTGCTTGTTCCATGTCACCTATAAATTTATATAAAATATTTAAAAATTCGTAATACATTGACATTATATCAAATCTTCAAATAAATTACATATTAAAAAAAATATATTACATGTTCCAAACTCAATCAATCAATATCCAATCTTTTAATTTTTTCAATTCACATTCCCCTATACTTAAAGCTTAATAATCAAAGTCAAACTTGCCTAACACGCGTGATTCTATGACAACTTTCGAATTAGCTTCATGATTTCTATAGTCATATTAAAAAATGTGATAACAATAACTTAAATTTCAGATGAAGTAAAAGCTATAGAAGGATTCATTACTAACAAATCTTAAGTTCTTTTGTTACGTTTTAACCCTTTCTTTTTTATCTCTCTTAACTTAAAATAGTCTCCATATATAATTTGTGAATATATGATTTCTATAGTTTTTTTTTTCATTATTTTGGGTGATTTCTTTATACATTAATTATTTTTTATTTAATATTAGTTTTAATTTTGAATTTTCATAATTTATTTTTTTACTTTAACATCTTTTATCTAATTTATGTAATATAATGGAATATTTATTGTTAATAATTAGAGTGTTTATTTATTTTTATTTCTTTAACTTAATTATAGTAAGTTGTTAATTATTGTAATCAAATATTTAATCTTTTAAATTTATAAAATTTTAAAGAGGAAGATAATGCAGTTTTATTTTTTTATTAACTTTTTTGGATATTTTATTAAAAAATATTTTTATGGTGTATAAAAATTATTAATATTAAATTTTATATATATATATATATATATATATTATACATAGATTATAAATTATAATTTCTTAAATCTGTAACAAAAACAATATTCATATCAATTTTTCATAAAAAGTATTTGATAATTATTTATAATAAATAAAATGTTTTACACATGTGCACGAATTACTAACTCGGTAGAGATATATTTTGAAATTGTATTAAATATTTAATTTAATTTAATTTTCGATTTTTCTTACTTTTAGTAAATATTGAAGACTAAGAATAAAGTGGTCTTTATCAGTTTTATGAATTAAATTGTATGTTATCTTAAGCATTACGATTACATATAGAAATTATGAAGGAAAAATATCCAAAACCCTCCTCAGAGTCCTTCTCCAACAATGGCTATGGCGGTTCAGTGCATGTCATGTGCTCGCTTCGTTCCTTTGCAATGGCAACGCAAACCCCTTCTCTGCTCCCTCTTCCTCTCTCTCTCTTCTCCCTCTCGCAATTTCAACCTCTCTTCTTCATTCGTTGCCGCCACTTCTCGGAACAAGAACAAAAACAAGGTCATCTCAATTCCCTTTTCCGTTCTCATTCCTTCCTTTTATCTTTATGTTAACTCTTTTCTAGTTAAATTTATTTTTATCGGATAATGAGAAATTGAAATAATTTTATGCAGTGTTAATTTTTAGTTGTTGTATTAATGGAAAGGTTTTCCAATTTATGCCGTTTGGATAGAGTCTGATTTCCTATGGCTTTGTGTTTTGCAGAAAAGTTTGGCTCCGAGTGATGTTTCTGAGGAGGACGCGTTTGAGATGCTATTCAAGCAGCTCGAAGAAGATCTCAAAAACGACGATTTGTCGAAAGGTGACGACGAAAGTGAGGAGATAACTGAGGAAGATATTGCCGCGTTCGAGCGTGAGTTAGGAGATGCATTGGGAGACTTTGACGCTGAATTGTTGAACTCGGATTCGAGCGACGCAGAAAATGGCAATGATGATGATGATGGCGATGATGGGGTTGAAAGCTCACTGAAGCTTAGAAATTGGCAAATGAAGAAATTGGCTCGAGCTTTGAAAACTGGCCGCCGCAAAACAAGTGTACGTGTCTTGCACATGAGTTTTCAGCTGAATTTGTTTATGAATAAAATTTATGTGCAACTGCTTATGTGCTTTTATTGTTGCTTTCTAATTAAAATTAGAATTTCATCTCCTGTGCTAACCTTATATGATGAATTTTATTATGTGACTTACTGATGTAGAATTTTATTTTGATTGGAAAATAGTATAAGTATCTAAGGAACTGTACCTAAGTTCGGTCCTTTGTTTATTCAGTTGTTGTGAGATTATCTTTTTGTTATCTTTGTTTCAATTTCATTTCTTTATATAATTAGATCTCAATTTTGAACATGACAAATAAAAATAAATCTTTATGGTTTTTGGACCATAACTGAAGGTGTCAGATGGTGGGATTGTTTGGTTACACTTTGCAGAGGTTAAGTGTTCTGGATTCTGGCCTTTTTAAATTTCTTGTGTGATTTGCATTTAGGTAATAGTATTGCACTAGACTTGTGTTTGACAACTCAAAATCTGTCTGGAAAACTGTTTGTGTATGGCTGCTTAGCCTTTTATTCCAATTCTGTTACTGTTAGTAAGGAGATGCATCTTTTGATTTTCCCCCCTGGCCTGGCCTTTTCGTGGTAATTGATTGATTGTTAGTAGATGCAAGAACTAAATGAACCAGCGAGGCTTGGTTTATTGCTCCTTTATTGACCTGGAATCCTGATTAAAGCAATTCATTCTGGTTATAGATTTTTCTTTAAATGTTGAAATTAAGAACTTGTGTTGGATTTTCCGTGAAAGGGGGTGCAAATCTTAAGGTGATTGTTATGTTGGATTAATTCTTTTCCACACGGGGGGGAGGAAGAATTAATCCTATTATTATCTCCAGGACTCTGTTCCTCAATCTCTTTATTTTATTTTTGTATTTCTTGCAGATAAAAAATCTTGCTGCTGAGCTTTGTCTTGATAGGGCTCTTGTACTTGAATTGCTTCGAAATCCTCCTCCAAATCTTTTGATGTTGAGTCTATCAATACCTGATGAACCCCCAGCAACAGTAACATCACTTGAAACAAAACCCAGCGATATTATTCATAAAGAAATAAGTACAGATCATGTAGAATCTGGACCCAGGGCTCAAGTACCTATTCATACCATGCAACGTAGTTGGACTGCTCAGAAGAGATTGAAAAAGGCCCACATTGATACTCTGGAGAGAGTTTATCGGAGATCAAAACGACCCACTGTAAGTAAAGTTTGCTTGGCTTCAAAATTATGAGTTTTAATTTTTTATGATTGTAGGTCGTTCATAACTAACTAGTACAATGTTAATTGACTTATTTATTAGACTTGTTCTTCTGATGTAGTATACTCTATTTTTCTCTTCAAGTGGCAATTTTGTCTATAGTCCAAAGTTTGTGGGAGAAACTTCAAATTAATGCTTGCTTGTTCTCATATTCTTAGAATTTTGATTTCAGGAAGAAATGCAGAATGCAATGATCAATTTCCCTTAGTATATGCTAATAGTTTCAGCTTTTTGCATTTTTTTGTTGTTTTTGAATGCTAGAATGGTTCTTGCTAATACTTGCATTTTATAGGCAATCAATGCGTATTTGCTTTCAGTTTTGAGTAAGGTGTTATATGTGAATTAGGGAAACATAACTCAGCAATCCTTCCACATCATGGTATTGCATCCCAGTATTGCATTAGATGCAATAATGTTAAATCTGTGGCTTAAGAGTTTTATTTATTTATTTACACACCAATCAAAGGGAATGACAAATTATTTATTTATATACCAATGCATGAATGGTCAAAATTAAATTTATGATTGTACAGACAAATTAGCTCCTCTAATGTCCTTGTATTGTCACTTGATGTGTCTCACTCACTCACTCACTCACTCTCACACACACACACACACACACACACACACACACACACGCACATACACTATTGAAAGTCCTTTAATATATCCATTTCTACTTAATGTGCTGATATGTTTTGCGTTTGGTAGAGGCAAACGAGTCGTTTTAGTTATTATAATCATCTGCAGTTTCCCTTCCCTTGTAAATAATTTGTAAACTTCATTACCCTTATTTGTCTGCCTTGAATCACAATGCAGAATGCGATGATCAGTAGTATTGTGCATGTTACAAACATTCCTCGGAAAAGAGTTGTTAAGTGGTTTGAAGACAAACGTGCTGAGGAAGGAGTTCCAGATCGCCGTCTTCCTTACCAGCGCTCTGTTCCTGAAACTGCTTGAAGATTTTATATTCGTTGATTTGTTTTTAAGGATGTAAGCAATATGAGGAATCTTATAATTGTATAAAAAGTAATGTTTCTCACCAACCGTGGTCATGCTTTTGGGGCGAGTTATGTGAGGAAGTTGAGTAGTGATGTATGTTATTATTGGTTTGGTTATGACAGTAATTTTGGTCCTTTGAGTCCAGTCTCTAGTGGTTACAGGATGGGGTTCTCTATTTCTTTTGGTACAGTAGTCCTGTGTGCTAAATTTCACTACACAACATAATTTATAAAAGCTTTAGGCAATGTTACCCAAATGTCAAAGTAACACCTTAAGTTAAGACTGAAGAGAAATAAAAGTTGTTTAGTCCGAAGTTCCACCATCGCCTCCGAAGATAATATAAAATCTTTAGTTCCTTTTTGTTACCCTAAAATGTTCATTTAAATTTTAAGTGTGCTGTCAATTTGTAAACATTTTATTGCTATAGTATTTTTAGTTTATCACTCATTTTAATTAACTCAGCATCAATGACATGGAGATTATTAGAAAACTTACCTCTAACTAAATCTTAAAAGCTAGCTCTCAGGAGAAGGATTACCCAATCTTTTATGAGGAGTATTATGTTTATATATTTCTTGCTAAAAAGAAAGAAGAAAACTTGACCTGTACTACAAAAATTTACAAAGGATTGAATAATATGCAAATAATTCAATTAATAATACATGTACAGGTCATTTAATTTAATTAATCATAGTACGTTATGATTGAAATTATGTTTATCCGAAGATAACTTGAATTTGTGACTTTTGAACTTTGTAAAACTAATTATAATTAAGAGAATTTGAACATATACATATGCTACTCTTTTATTGACGATTAGGTTTTTCACATATACTCAAGATGTTTATGGACAACTTGTATACCAAAAGTTATGTGAGAATATAAACCGTTCATTGGGAATTAAGAACGAGTCAACCTATTATGACCATTTTGGTCAAATGCTTAACACTGATAACCATTAAATTATTAAAATAACATAATAAATAATATTATATTATTTTAATGATTAAATAATGTTAATTCATCAAATTAATTAAGAAAAATCTAACATTCTTTCACTTATATAACATTATTTAAATCATTAGATACACAAAATGTCACTGTAATCAATATTAATTATATTTAAAGATATAGTAAGTTCCTAACAATGCAAAAATTTATATCCGATAAAAATAAACATCATACATATTTAGAAACCCATATTTCACTCAAAATGAATAAGAAAAGCATAATTAAAATATATAATTTTAACAAAATGTTCAAGCATCTTAATAATACTATAAGAGATATGTTAACAAAAATCGTGTCGTCAAGATACATATCTCAAAGAAGACAAATAATGCCAACAAACAAATATACATAATAATTCCCACTCATCCAAAACATTATAAGATTTAATTAAACTCATATGAATTATTAATAGTTAAGCTTTTGGTTAGTGGGTATGCCTACATGCTTTTTATAGTAATATATTTGATTTGAGTACGAAATTTTAGTATTTTCTCTCTAGTACTTAGATTAAAATGCTTTGAACTACAAGAATTATTATTTTGAAAGATAAGTATAATTAATTATTTTTTAAGAATCATAAAAAATGGCTCCAAATTAGACCCATATGCATTGCATACACAATGACCCAACAAATATTCAAATTGTTCTCCGTGATTCAGCAATGTTTAGGGTTTAGGATTTAAGATTGCAATTCAAAATTTATTTTATTTAAAATTTAGAGTTTCTCTAAAGTCCTCACAAATTTTTTAAAATGATGAATTATGGTGCAAGAACTTAGAAATCAAAATGAAAAAAAGGCATAAAAACAAGTTATACAGATAGTCAAATTGAATCTCAGATACAATAACATTTTAACATGACGTTGGTTTTATATGAATTTGGAAAAATCCAAAATAAATTTTATAATAAGTATAAGATAAATCATTGAAATTTTAAATTTGAAAATTAATAGCATTCTTATTTAATAATAAATAAATTTAAGTTCAATTCTTCTTTATTATGCAACATACTATTTCATTTCAGATATATGCATTTTTAAGACAATTTTATAAAAACACCTCCAATTTAATTTGAACAAAACATACATAATAATATTATTCTATATATATATATATATATATATATATATATATATATTCAGATTAACTTTTTAAAAGAAGAAGTTTCTTTTGCTAATATTGAAAAACAATTAGGTAGTTTTTCACTTCAAAAGAAAATCCAGTCACTTTTAAACAAAATCCAAACTTCTATATGTTCTGACCTACCCAGCGCTTTCTGGAATAGGAAAAAACATATTGTCAGTCTCCCTTATGAATCTGGATTCAAAGATACCCAAATTCCCACTAAAGCCAGACCAATTCAGATGAATGAAGAACTCCTCCATTACTGTCAGAAAGAGATTACAGATCTCTTAGACAAAAATCTTATCAGGAAAAGCAAGAGTCCTTGGTCTTGCTCTGCTTTTTATGTTAATAAACCTGCTGAGATTGAAAGAGGTACTCCCAGACTTGTTATCAATTACAAACCCCTCAATCAAGCCCTTCAATGGATTAGGCATCCTATCCCCAATAAAAAAGATCTTCTTAACAGACTCAATTCTGCTAAGATCTTTTCAAAATTCGATATGAAATCGGGATTTTGGCAAATCCAAATTTGCGAAAATGATAGGTACAAGACTGCCTTTACTGTTCCCTTTGGGCATTACGAATGGAATGTTATGCCCTTTGGTCTAAAAAATGCTCCTTCTGAATTTCAAAAAATCATGAATGACATTTTCAATCCTTATTCAAAATTTGTCATTGTCTACATTGACGATGTTTTAATTTTTTCTTAATCCATTGATCAACATTTTAAACATATAAATGTTTTTATCAATGTTATTAAACAAAACGGTCTTGCCGTTTCAAAATCAAAAATTAGTCTCTTTCAAACCAATATCAGATTCCTTGGACATAATATCCACCAAGGTACCATTATCCCTATCAGTAGGTCCATTGAATTTGCTGATAAATTTCCTGACAGGATCCTTGATAAAACCCAATTACAGAGATTTTTGGGATGTCTCAATTACGTTGGGGATTTCATCCCCCACCTAAATAACATCATCAAGCCTTTACATGATAGGCTTAGGAAAAATCCTCCCCCTTGGACTGATGTCCATACTAATGTCGTTAAAGAAATCAAAAACAAAGTCAGGAAGATAAATTGCCTATATCTTCCCATCCCCCAAGCCTTCAAAATCGTTGAAACTGATGCCTCAGACATAGGTTATGGAGGTATTCTTAAACAAAAAATCAAGTCTCATGAGCATATCATTGCATACACTTCAAAACATTGGAATTCTGCACAACAGAATTATTCTACTGTTAAAAAAGAAGTTTTGGCAATTGTTTTATGCGTTTCAAAATTCCAATCTGATTTATTAAACCAAAAATTTTTAATTAGGGTAGACTGCAAGTCTGCCAAAGAAATTTTACAAAAGGATGTTAAAAATCTTGCCTCAAAACAAATTTTTGCGAGATGGCAAGCAATTTTAAGTGTTTTTGATTTTGACATAGAATATCTCAAAGGCACTTCAAACTCCCTTCCTGATTATCTTACCCGTGAATATTTACAGGATAAGTAAGATGCCTAGAAAGGCAGTTACCCCTTCTAGGGGAGGAACCACCAGAGGCGGCAAAGTCAGATTAGCTCTGACTCTAAATAAACCAAGACCACAATCTGCTTCAGCAGATTCAAAAACCTCTTCTTCTGGGTCATCGACCCCCATCGAGTCATCGACTCAAAAGGCAATCCAAGTTGTTGAGTCATCAACTCAGCAATCTGGAACTCCAAAAGAATCCTCCAAAAAGACTGATTCTGTTGTCAAAACCACCAAACAAACCAAAACAGACTATGCTCTCCCAATTAGTACGCTTTTAGCTATCCAACAAGGAAGCTTAAGTAGCCTACCAAATAAATCTTGGGCAGACATTGCCTCTGAAGAAGATATGGAATTAGACTTAGCAAGCCTAAACACTATACTCCAGACCTTCAACCAAACCCAAAAAACAATAACCAATAAAACAGAAGGGACCCTTGACCTTCAAAAGGGAAAACAAAAAACTTCAAACCCAAGCCATTATGTAGCCAAAGGAAAATTCTCCTCAGTCATACAAATGGAACCTGAATTTTGGGACAAAAACCCATACAAGGCAATTACTAAAGTCTTCCCACCAGGATTTCATTTCAGACCATATCAAGCTAATAAAACCAGACAGTTTTATGAGTTTATCTTAGTGGATTCAGATTCTGTTTCCATTAAGCATTACAAGGACCACAAGGATCCGTCAGTTACAACCCATTCAACAATACAAATCCTGAAAGTCTTAACTCCAAAGGCTTTTGGAAAAAATTTAAATTCTTATAAAAAGTTTTCCCAACCATTTGATCCAGTAGGATATAATTATTGGGACTACATTGACGCATGGACAAGAACTTTCTGGTTCCAAAATAAACTTAACCGACATTCTTGGTTAATATATTTTAAAAAGAATCAGAATTATAACTTTCCAAATTGGTTCCTCCAATGGTGGGATTATTTTGGACCAATTGAAGAAATCCTTCCCACTCCTGTCAAAGAAGGATACAAAATTTACAAGGGCAGATATCTGCGAGAATCAAGAATTCCAGCAAATCAGGCTTGAGAAGGACTCTAGAGGCACAAGAATTCATGACCTTATACTGAATCCTATAGATTAATGCGGCGGGAATAGATCCCTCTTTCATGTCTAACCCATGAAAGCAAATATTAAGAAATAAGGAGTCTAGGATGTGTTCATCCATAAGACTCACAGTTTTGTTGGGAAAACAGTTAAAATAAATCGGACCTTGACCGAGACTGGTTTCAACTGTTCCTATGAGAGAATCATCAAATTTATTATGACGAATGTCTCTGAGACAAATCAAGACAGCAGCATCTATGCCTATGTCTATCAAAGGTTTAATTGCTACCTGAACACATCCTATGTGAAGGTACTTGTACTTTCTTTTATGGTCATTGAGGGAGGATTTAGACAGGAGATGAAATTCTTTCCCTATAGCCTTCTTTAGAGGACCAAATCAATAATCTCCTGGCTAATACCTCTGATGAAGAGGAAGATTCTAATAAAGAATCTGAAGAAGAGGTCAACCAAATTCAAAATGATGACCAAGCTTCTTCTTCTGACAGTGATGAAACTCCAGAAATCAATGTTTTGACAAAAGAACAAGATCTTCTTTTTGAAGCTATAAGCTCTATTTCGGATTTTCAAGAAAGAAAAGAA